ATCCACGTTCATTTTGGTAAATTTTTGGGTAAATATAGCATTTTTCTATAAGATAATAGAAGCTAATAAGAGAGTAAAACAAAATGCAATATAAGATTGAGAGGAATCGCTTGAAAAGATCCATAGTTTAATGGGTCCAAAATCAAACTCGGGCACTAGGGGAAAAAGGCTTGGTTTCCTAGTTCTTCCTCATGCTTACACTCATGAGTATAATATAAAATTATTAGGATTCTATTTTGTATCGACTCTCTTACTTTTGCAATTTTATGGTGATTCATCTATACTAAAATAGGAAGATTCGTCCAATCGGTCAACCGAAAGCGGCATTCAAAGATAGTCGCAGGGAGGAGTTCATTCCAAACCAAAGAGGAGAAGAAGTTATCCTTCTGATTGCGCCCCTAACCTCAACTTGAAGGAATCTCGTATTAAATGAGGCAAATCCGTATATAAGGGGTATGAAATTCCACACTATAAAAAGATTAAAATGTGAATTAATTGTGTTGTGTCAAGAGCCCACTTAAAACCCAAGTTTGTAGACATATTTTGGGTTTATAGCCTGAGCTGAGGAGTGATTGGATTAAGAAAATGGACTTTTTGTAGTAGGCTTTGCCTAAATGCCCAGACCACAAATTGTAGCAACTTCCAAATTGCGTGGACCTCTGACAAAGTAGCTGCGGAAACGACTTCATTTCTTTAGTACTTAGATGTTGGTACGTTTTAATATACTTAGATATTGTAAACGTGCCTTGCACGTTAATTATTTTTGACAATATTTTTAATTTTATATTTATCATATTGGTATATTGATTAATTTATTTAGAATTGAAATATTATGAAAAATTACCTCAAAATGTGATTTTTATAATTTATGGATCATATTTTATAGTTTAATTATAAATATGATCAAATACGTTGGTCACATACTCACATATACCTATCACAATAATCTCCTCTTTTGAAGGTCAAAGACAGATCAAACCAATTTGGTATAATCTAATTGACAACATTTCAGATAAGAGGTCAAGCGACCAATTCTTCCCAAACGAAAGATTTAATTTTTTAAGTCGGCCACGCGCGCACACACACACACACATTTTGTATTAATTAGGTTTTTTACACACATTTGGTATTAATCATTGACCTATCTCTAATTGTTTGGAAGGATTTCTCTATTTGTTTGTGGAATGGATCTAGCACTTTCTTTTGTTGAAGTCACGCCTATGACTTTTCTTTCAACTTATTGTTAGCTATTTTATATGCATTTTTTTTTTCAGGGAAGAGGAGAGGGGGAAAGGGGGCTTGAACCCTTGACGTCAAGAAGGCAAAACCTTACAAGGTAAGGAGTACCAGTAAACCAAAGATTCATTGGTAATTATTTTATATGCATAAAGTAGAAATAATACGTGTTGAATTGGGCGAGAATTTTTCGATGGTGAATATGATGATTGAGTCTGTAATTACTTTGTGATTTGAGTTTGAGAATTTGATTTACATTCTATGTCCACTTAGCATCTGACTTAGATTGTTTGAATTCGTTAAATGTATTTGGGTGATATATGGTTTAGTTTGAAAGGTGGTAGAATGACTATTTGTTGTTGCATACTAGACGATTGACCAAATATCAGCCTAATGTTAATTACTTGGTTCTCTCTTGAAATTATCAGAGAGCTACGGGCATCCACACATACCACATTTTCACTGAAAAAGAAGTGAGCATGTGGTGTGTTTGATATTCGTTCTTAACCAAATTAAATGTCCAAAAATAAGAAATTTGTCTGGTCTTATGTTGTTGTGTGGGTGTTCGGCATTCGATGGTGAATTTAAGAAATTTGTTGTAGTATGTTCTAAGAAATTTGGATTTTGTTGTAGTATGTTGTAGTCTGCGGACTTCTTTTATAATATCGGGAAATGTTCACATGTGGTATGGAATGTTGGTGGTTATTTTTGTGGTTAGGTATGGAATGCTAATTTTAGGGGAAAATAGAATTAAATTGTGATTATCCATTATGATGATTGTTATATATGATTGTGAGTTTTGTATATTAGACAGTTTGAGATTTTTTTGGACTCCTATTTTTAGAGGAATTTATGCCAAATTTTTTTGAAAAAATAGTTGGGACTAGATTGATTTTAATTTCTTTAATTAAAGTAAATAAAAGCAAGACTATTTTAAATTGACAGGTTTTTTCAGTTTGCAAGTGCCTTTAGGCACGGGTTGTCACTGCTACAATCCATTCACACACTTAAAAAATAATAACTATCAACGACTTGAAAAAACTAATTAGCTCCGGTTTGAAATCCACTTGAAATCTCATTGATTGAGTTATCTTAGCGATCAAGAAGCAAATTCTTGATTTGTTGTCTTGCGGTGTTGTTTTTATGGGTTTGTGTGTTTGTTGTGGAGTTTGTCTTATACATTTGTTTAAGAGGATTTTTTTTTTTTTTTGGTTTAAGATGAAACCTTGATAAAGAAAAGAAATTTAAAGCATGTACGAATTTTTTAAGACATGTCTATGATTGATGATTATTATATTTTTCTGTGTTTTTTTTACAGGTACTTGCGTGTATTTGAGGCTCTTTTTTTTTAGAGTTGAATTTGAAGGAAATTTTGAAAGACAAACAAGTAAACTTTCTTTTGTATGCTCAAAATTTATTAGCCCCGTATATCTCTATTTTTCATGTCTTTTTTTTTTTTTCGTATGGGTTTGAATTTGTTAACTTTTATTTGGGTTGGATGAGTTTTTTATGCAATAAATGTTATGTTTTGCCGTAATATGTTGTGGTTTTCAAGCTTTTCTTATGATGTAGGAAAATGTGTAATGTGATACGTTTGAGTATGAAATGTTGATTGTTGTTTTGGTGGTTGTGTATGAATGCTTATTTTGGGGGAAAATGGAATTGAATTGTGATTGTACATTATGATGATTGCTACGTATGATTGTGAATTTTGTAGATAGGTTGAAATTTCTTTGAGCTTTTATTTTTAGAGAAAATTTTATCGAAATTTTTTAAAAAATAATAGAAACTAAATTGATTTTAATTTCTTTAATTAAAGTAAATGAAGATAAAACAAATTCAAATTGACAAGTTATTTTAAGGCAGTGTTTGGGATGACTTATTGAATTCAAAAATATTTCTTGAATAATTACTTTTTAAAAAACACTATATTAAAAAATACTTTTTTCTACAAGCATCGTTTGGATGCTCATTAAAAAAAGTACTTAAATAAAAATAATTATACAAAAATTGTGTTTGGATGGTCAATTAAAAAAGTATTTATTTGTATCACAATTACAAATATGCCTTCATAATCAAATATATATATATATGTGTGTGTGTGTGTGTGTATGTGTGTTTGCATGTATTTTGCTAAAAATGTCAATGGTTATCCCATGATACATTTTTAGTGGTAATTTATCAAATATTTACATAAATTCACAAAAATGAAAAGATAATCATAGGATACCAGTGATCTAAAACATGGACAAACAATGCACACTCCGAACTAGCACTCTAATTGATTATTACTACAAGGAAGGTTTTTTTTTTTTGACACCTTTGCAATATCATTCATTGTGTCATAATAAGTAATGGCTCAAAAAACATTGCAATGACAAATCCTCATCACAAATATTTTTACAACAGCATTACTTTTCTCTTACACTCTCCCATCTAAGCAATACAATTTTCCTGATGAACTCAAGTGTAAGCTTGGAGTTCACTACTACGGATTTCTCATCACTAATGTGTAAGCTTTTACTATTTGATGCAAATATTTTTTTTTTCAAACATATTAACACTTTATTTTATTACTCAAAAATTATTTACAATGAAATAAAAGGCAGACAGACCATGCTTTAACAAGACTTTAACCCAAAACGAATAAAAGAAACCAAGAGACTTTACATAAGAATCAAAAAATAAGTCCCTCATAACAGACAGCCTGCTCATTGAACCAGTAACATCAACCTGTTCCCCTATTTTGTAGAAAAAGGCAATCTTACCTTTTATCATCAGAAACCAGCACCTTCTTCAATCAAAGAACAGACAACTGCCTTGAATCATGCAATACAGCCATACCCACAATAGAAGGCAATACGAGATTTTCAAAAAAATCAACAGAGCACCTATCATAGACTGCATGATTCGCCAAACTAACAATTTTGATCCCAAATAATATTAATCCTGTTGTTGAACTATTAAAGGAAACCAGAGATGTGTTAAGGACAACGCTCTGGGTTCAATAAGTGCAATTTTTAGTTAAGTTGCTAACGCCAACTTGATAAATGGCCAACTTAACCAGGACAGAATAAGCCATCTCTCCTTCCAATTATTTGCTAAAAGAACAGGTGAAACAATGGTACAAATTAGGAGGGAAAACATGTAAACTATAAAATTCTTGCACTTAAACAAGAAGAAATCAGGGAAGGGAAAAATAAAAATAAAAGGTGAGTGCCAATAGACAAGTTAATGTATGTACAACCACAGGAACTTCCTAAGTTAAACATTTGGTTTACACTACATATAATACACTTAGAAAAAATTTCATTGTTCTTAATTTTTCAAAACTTTCAAACAAAGGAAAAGAACTAGGTGGACAAAAGAAACAGGGGAAAGGAGGTAAGATAAACACGGCAATGGGAAACTAACATGGCTGGAGCATGAAAAACAATTGAAGTCGAACAAAATAGTGCACCAGTTTGAGGGCATTCTATCAAAGGGAAGCTTACCAGTTTGAGGGCATTCTAACAAAATAGTGCACCAGTTTAAGCATAAGAAAAAGTCCGTAGCACAAGTAAGCCATTTTATCAAACAGTTGGGTGGCATTCTATCAAACTGTCCAATTTTGCTAAAAATTAAATGTGAGAATGAGCAATGAATTATGGAAGTAAAATAATATAGTAATTTTCATAGTAATCATGGATCAAAAAAAAAAAAAAAAACAGTTTCCCCAAAATAATATAATGATTTTCATAGTGATTTCTGGCACAACTCAAATAATGTCAACCAGCCGTCGAGCATTGTCTTGCACAGCTCGGATACAAAATATTCTGGATGAGGATCTCGAAACAAATGTTCCGTATTTTCCAAGTGAAATCCTGGTTCCAAAACTTGAGGCAAATGAAACCAAACTCAGAGTTTGTGCCATTGATGATTATTATGGTATAGTGGGCATCAATCAGAAGGACTTTCCTACAAAACTGCAATCTCGAGTTGAAAAACCTCCATTTCTGTTTCCATTTGATTCCACCCGAACGAGAGGAAACAAGCATGCAAGTCAGAGGGAGACGATGCGCTCAGCTTAAGAGGGATAGACCAACCAGAGGCTTGTCTACTGTCTCTGGTGAGAGAATAAATTGCAGGCGTCGGCGTCGAGATTAAAGAGGCTACATGAAGGGTTTTGGCAGAGAGGCATCGGGGAGAGAGGAAAAAATGTGAACCGATTTTTAAAAGTAAAAGTTATTTATTTTTATTTTTTTTATTTACTTATTTAAGTGATCAAATTATTTTTACTTATTAAAAAGTGATTTTAATAAATTAAACCAAACACTACTTTTTTTAAAAAAAAAAGTATTTTCTAACTCTAATTTGCGACAATTCTGATGATCAACCCTGTCTCACGTGACTAACTCTTGGTAAAAGACCGAAAAATTAGATTATCAATTATTCAAAAATTAAAAAATTCTTAAACCAAGTCAACACAACCTGTACGAGGAGGGAAAGGAGGTTAAGAGTACCCTCTCATTGTTTAAGGAAACTAATTCCCAGATTATAACAAGAGCGAGCTCGGGAATATAAAAGGTACGCAACTCTAATCTCAATTGTCATTTTCTATCTTTTTATCAGAATATTAACCTAAGTCCCCTTTCGCACTTCACCTTCTTTGTGGGATTTCTTTCTAGAGCTCTTCCGAGTTGATATGAATCCTCAGAGCGCTGACATGGACCTCTTAGAAAGGTGACTTGAAGGTGAACACAGTTTTGCCCAACTTGCATGTGGATTGGTGCAAATTCACTTCATATCAATCTTAAAATAATAGAATTGATGGTAGTGATGTGGTCAAATCCAGTTGGGTCCAGGCCCAGTCCAAAAAGACTGGTCAACCTCAATTCATCGCCTCATCTCAATTCAAAGTTTAAAAGACACAACAAGATCTAACACACGTGAGAAACGAGCATCGAAATAGTAATTACTCAAAGATAACGTCTGTTCTTAATTACAGTTATTCTTAATTATAGTTATACTCTATTAAAGGTTAGTAGCTTGATTTTCACGTCACCGTCTCAACTGAGACTTTATACTTATAAATTATAAGTCTTCTACGCATGGGGTATAGATTTTACACACCTCACTTTGAGTGTATTCTCTCTCTCTCTCTCTCACATTAATAGGATTTTTCAGCCACCATTGTTGGTTTCAATAGTTAGGTCACTTATACCCAATCACTTATTTTGTCTCTTATTATTGATTATTTCATTAATTATTTCAGTGATTATACTCTTATATTTGTAACTTGATTGGATCAATTGAATTTTATGTAACTTTTTTTAATCATATCTTAAATCCAATTGAATTAAAACTTTTGATACATTATCTAATTCGATATTGATTGATATCGTTCCCCAACTTCTAATTATTGAATTGAACGAAAAAAAAAACTATTCCTGAATTCTAGTCTCTGATCTGACACTACACAAATATAATTCTTTTATTTTTTTTCACCCCTGTTGAAATGACATTCATTCTTGAATTTTTTTTTATTTCTCAAAATATTTCAATTACAAAACGCAAAAGACATGTTAATTTAATAATTTCTCGGAAAATAAAATACTCGCGAGTACAAATCAGAGGGATGCCCCTTCCCCTAATGTCCATATAAAAAAGACACGACAAGCATAAATCAATCAGTGCAATGGGTACTCACTTTGAGGTACTTCAAGTTCCCAGACACCTTCAAATTATTATTTTAAAATTAATAATTTAATTTAATTTTAAAATCAAAGTGGCATGACATGTTTCATTAAAGTAATACATTAACTTGAAAAATGCGGTCACCCCTATTTTTTTTTTTGTTTAATGTATAAAATTTCTACACCCACATCCGAATTTAGTAATGTTGGTCATCAACTCGAAGACTTACAACAAAAAACAAATCGTAAAAACCCAAGTCTTGAACAAGAAAAAGTCGAGTCTTCGTTTGGGTTAAGGTTGGTTAGTAAAAAACACATGTGAGGAAAAGAGAGTGTGTGTATGTAAGGTTGCTCATCAACTCCGGAGTAGGTCCCTATAGAATACATATAGATTAGCATGAATAAAGGATAGGCTACTAACTATGTAATTGACAGCCTCGAAAAAAAAACAAACATAACCGTCACAAGTCCCAATTCCATCCTTAAATGGACCTGTGAATTATAGAAATAGCTACCTAATTAGATGAACTTCAAGTAAAGTTGATTTCTAACCTAACACTTGACTTTACGGAGTTAGACTAAACAATTACGTCACTTGTTACTACTGCAAAGGCCTAGCCACATTACCACTAGTTTAACAACTCTCTTGAGATTGACCGATACCAGCTTCAAATGCCTTATCGTAAAACTTTATAGCCGTAAGTGGTACGTTCTAAAGGTATTCTCACTATGCCTTCTTTGTGAAAAAAAGTGATTGCGATAGTAATAAATTTAATTTGGTGTTCATTTGATCTTAAAGTTTAAAGGGTTAATTTCAAATTATACTCTGAAAGATTGTTGAAATCTTAATTTACATTCTCAAAGATCAAAAATCTTAATTTGTACCTTAAAAGATAGAAATCTGTATCAATGCGCACCTCAAGTTAACAACCGGTAGTTTTCTGTCTAAAAATAATGAATAAATTACACCTAGACTATCTCAAGTTTGTCACTTAATCACTTAGATATTATATTTGAAATATTACACCTACATCCCTTTTAGAATTAAAATAAGACTAAAAATATTCTTCCAATGGGACATTCAAATAATTCTGTTTAAGTGATATATTTCATTAGATATAAAGAATATTATATAAATACATGCATTATATTGAGTATTCAATTGGTAAGTTTGATTTTAAACTTTAGAGTATAACAAACCCAAAAAATAAAGGGTAGTATGAAAATTATAATTTTTTTTAGAATGAAATCATATTGTTTAACTGTTATATTAACAAATATCAACGACAAGGAGTTATGTGTTACATGTGTACAAACGTCAGAAGGTGTAAGAATGATATTTTAAATGTAAGAGGGTCCAAATGATTAAGTAATAAGCATGAAAGAATCTAGGTGTAATTTATCAATTTAGTTTTAGACGGTAAACTAACGGCTATTAGTTTGAGGTGTGTATTGATACAAATTTTTATTTTTAATGTTGTAAATTAACATTCGAACGATCTTGCAGGGTACAACTTACGATTAACCCAAGTTTAAAAAACATATTCATCCCTTTTAGGTAGTTTTCATGCAATCCTCGTTTGAGAAAATTCACATATATGTCTCTCTAGTGAAACAACATTCTAGAACATCTTTGAATTGAGCATTATTTGGTATGCCCAACATTGCTCAATAATGTAACTCACTATTATGAAAAGGACCATTCCTCTACTGTTTCCCTACTCATCATTGTAACTTTACAACCTTTTTTACTCGATCTAAAAATATTGAGACAAGATTTTTTGTGTTAAGTTGTAATTACTAAACAATTTTTTGAGAAAAAAAAAATCAATATTATGCTAAAGGTGTCGGCAAGTCCGTAAGGATGATTGATCTGCAATGTTGGTAATGCTATACTTATCAAAAATTTTTACAAAATCTCGATTCAAAATGGTGTGGTACAATTTTTTACTATCAGATAAAATGAGTTTCATTAATATTCAATGATAGAAATTGTGTCACATCATTTAGTATAAAAGATTTGATAAAACTTTTTCGGTAAGCATAACATTTTCTGTTTAATTATGGTAGAAATTAATATTACATCTCAAATTAGTTTAATGTAATCGGAAGTCAAGGCCCTAAACACATGACCGGCCTTGGCCTCCACCAAGTCCAACTGCCGTTGGAGAAGGTGCATGTACACAATCCAGTCCCCGTTATCCAACGGACTAGGCATTGGCATCACATACCCAGCTCTTCCTCCCCACGGGAAATGGTATGACCCAAATGCGGGCTTACCCCACCCCAAATCCACCTTCTCCACCGGAAACCGCTGCCCCGATGACACCACAAACGCAGGCCCTTCCTCTCCTCCACCGGCGTATATCTTAGCCAATAACGGTTGCGGACGATGAGCCTCCACCCAGTCTATCAGCCCTTGGAAATGATCCTCAGTCACTGCAGTATCCAAGAACTCGTGAACTGAATCCGCCACCCAGCTCAACGGCCTCTCCGTTAACTCCTCTGAATTCTTCTCTCCAAATGGGATTGAAACCACGTTCCCGAAGTATGAGTCCATTTGAGTGGTTTTCCGATCTCCGACTTGCAACCTTGTCCTCCCATCAACTACAATGCCCATCCTGCACACCTTGTTTTCTTCACCGGCGGCAGCGACCAGTTTCCAAAGGAAGGCACTGAACGCCTCGAGCTTTGATCTCTTGCGTCCCATTCCAATGGTAGTGCCATTATTACCCCCGTTGGCCAGAGATTGGAGGCTGCAGAGATGGTTGGCCTCAATGTAATAGATGCGGCTTACCAGTTGATTATCATTGGTGTCAGGTTGGGGATCTGTTGGTGGTGGTAGAGCACAGACGGGCACGTACAAATCGTCGATGGAGGGATGGTAGAACCCAGGACGTCGAGGGTTGAGCAATGATCGTCGGTATGATGGCAACTGAGATAGTGGTTTGGACTGAGCCATCTCCGCCCATGATACTAGAAACATGTTGGCGGAGTAGGCATCTGCCACTCGATGGTCAAAGGTGCACGCCACCACAAGTCCACCGCATTTGAGCTCCGTTGCCTGACAATATGCTAAATTATTAATTCAAATTTATCATCTTGAATATATATCTTGTAATAGTTTATTTGTGACCGTCCATCATAAGAATAATAAATATACTTTTTTTTTTTTACATATCTCATATTCTGATTAATAAAAAAATAAGTGGTTAGAGTAGTATTACTAGAATCGGATTAGACATTGAACCAATTGAAAGATTGAGTCAATAATTCACTAGTTTAACCATTGAATCAATTAGTCTGACAAGCAGTATAATCCATTGATCACAATGTATTATCTATCTAACATTGCTCAATATGATTTTTGGGTTAACTAGCGCGTTTCGGACAATTAGGAAAGCAAGAGTTGGCTTCAAATGGGCCAAATGCCTTGAACAACACACATTCAGCGATTATAGTGATGTTATACCAATGTTTTTTGCAAAATAAGTGCATTACAAAACGAGCTGCGAAAACAGTCATTTTGGGTGATTAAGATGGTGTAATCTGGTAACTTACCTGGACAGAGAGCACCCCATGCTTCTTCTTAGGCATCAACTTGCCCTCAATGCTCTCATCAGGATTGTGCAAGTTGAGGTCTCTTAGCTCTACCTCTGCAAAGGCTTCAACGAATTCAACGCCATTGTTGTTGCAGAGAAGCTCTGGCTCACCAACAGTGTTCTGCACAACCTCTCCGGCGAAAGCGTAGTAGGACACCAATGCCTGAGCCATGGCTTTTTTAAGCACACCCACCATGGATCCAAACGTTAAAGAGTTGTCTTTGGGTTTTTTATAACAGAAGAACACACCCACATCCACTGGAGGCAAGAGCAAGTCTAGGTTCGACATTGGCAGCCAATGGTCCTGCATTGGCAACACTGCTGCCACTGTTTCGGTTCTTGTCACCTTCACCACAAAGTCTCCTTTGGCCCCCATTTCTTCTCTGTAAGTAGGTGTAGAGAGAGAGAGAGAGAGATAGAAATGGGTATGGGATGGGTTTGGCAGAGAGATGAGGTGATATTTATAAAGGCCTTGGGTTGGGTGAGAATTTTTTTTTCTTTTCCTTTTTTTTTTATGTAAGTAATAGTGGGTGAGAATTGCAATTAATATAAGTTTTTTTTTTAAAAATAAATGAAATATATAGAGTTGAAACAGTCCGTCCCACTATGGTGAATAGGCAGCCACGACCCTTTCATACTTGGGGTGTTTTGTGGGTGGATTCTTGGAATGACACTTTTATACATGACACATTAATTGTAAGCAGTAATCAAACCAATAAGTTCGGACGGACAAAGGTTTCCCATGACCCACGATTCCATAAAATCAAGGAATTTGAGTACTGTTGTTTTCAAGTATAGCTGGACATTAATAGACCAGCTTATTTCAATCTCACGAATACAGTGACAGCTGACCCCGTTATCAGAAGATGAGAGGTGCTCAGTCTTTCGTTCACCATACTCCAGATTAAAATAGCGAACTTTTGTTTGGAAGAAGCTGTTGTCTGTCCATTGCAAAACATATCAGGTAAAGTCGCTATTGGATTGGTCCATGAACGAAACACAACGGTCATCGGTGGCTAGTAGTGCGCTAAATAGTGGTGTGTCACAATAATGCTATACTGAACAAAACAAATTGGTCCAAGTCAAGGGTCATTTTATTTGGGTTCACCTTTTTATTGCTTATTTTGTTCGGTATGGAATTTGATAGTGTATTTCAACGTGGATGAGCTTAAGGTGCAGGTAACGTGAGATGAGCGTGAATTTGAGCTTCGAGACTCGTGTATGATGCTACAATAAAATATTTAGGGGATTAAAGGGGTGTACATAGTAAAAATATAGTGGTTCATCAGATCGGGAGCTCGACTAATCCACTTTTTAATGGAGATTCTTACTCCTTCCTTCACTATTTATCATACCAAAATATTTACAAACTGTAAGAAGTGATACTAGGGTCCTGCCCCTCTGTTGAGAGCGTTACATAGTATTTATAGGATTTTTCCTAATTCTGCGGGATCTGCCCCGAGAACTTCGCCATTTATCCGAGGAATCCTCCTTGATCTTAGGAGGTGATCTTTCCTGGATGAGAGTTTTATGTTTTGATTATGACTCTTTGCTGCCTCTAAGGTTTCTGTTGACAAATAAGTATCTCTTTATTACTTTCGCTGCAGCTTTGATTGGGCTGGGCTTTACTCTGATTTTATGAGTTCTGTGCGTCTAACCTCCACTCCCAAGCTCATACTTGGGAATTGCTCTAAGTATCAGTAGTTGCCCCTAGCTCTTGGTCAACCTGGCTTGGGCGAGGACTGAGCTTAAGATGTAGCAGAATGGTTTCCCAATCAGAGACTTCAAAGTTTGCACGGGAATTTTTTTTTTTGGCATGTAGATGCTCCTGCCCTGAACCTGCTTGAATTGATGAGGGTTGAACAAATGACCCAAACTGAGCCCATGTCTTTTCCTGATCTCACGACGTCAGATAATCTGTTCTTGTTTAGTTCTGCTGGAGCTAAACGGGACTTTCCCTTTTTTCTTGAATCTGATCTCTCTTCTACAGGTCTGATGAGAGCGAGGATGTTGGGACTCATATCAAGAAACGCAAGAGGGATGATTCATCCTTTCCTTCATCCAGATCTTTCCTGGGGGAAGTTCTGTTTTTCTTTGCAAGGCAAAAATTGGTAGATCTACTGTCAGCGACTGAGAAGGAGAGTGATGAGCTGAAGAAGGAGAACCTGCGTTTGAAAGAGAGGATAACCGAACTATAGAGACGACTATGAATTTTAGTTTGATTGATTTTTTTTTTGTAATCTTTGATGTTCTTGAAACCTTGATTTTCCCTTTCCATGTTTGCCGATTCTTATACACAATTTGTGGCTTTGAGAATCTAGCAGCTGATCTTCCGTGTCGTTTCCTGGCTTGTGGACCAAGGACCCCCATTTTTACTTTTTGTAATGGATAGAGGCTATGAAGCTTTCCCTCTAGTTTACGTGCTACAAGTCTTGCTTTTAGTTCTTCTGGATCGAGAAGCGCATTCTGAGCTACTATGTTTGTTTTAGGGACAAAAGAACTCGTCTTGAGCTACTGAGCTATTTTTATGGATTGATAAGTTCAACATGAGTTTCAGGGCTCTTTTTATGAACTAACGAGTTCATCATGAACTCTAAGGCTCTTTTTATGAACTAACGAATTCATCGTGAGCTCTCGGACTCTTTTTATGTACTAACGAGTTTCTCGTGAGCTCCAGGGCTCTTTTTATGAACTAACGTGTTTATCGTGAGCTCTAGAGCTCTTCGTAAGAGTGAATGAACCACAGACTTGTTGTTTTATTAATAATCATATTACAGAACAAACTTACTGAAAAAATTTTCTTAGATGTTCTACATTCCAAGAGTGGGGTATAATTTTTGCCGGGTCTGCTTTAATCCGGGGTGGCCACCTTAGGAATTTTTTGTTTTGTACCTCATACAAGATTTACGATATTGTTGCAGTGAATGGAGGGACTTGCCGAGGTACTTATCTCGACTGAAACTCTGGATGAGGTGGTCCCAAGTGATATCTGAAGTCTCCCCTTCTTTTGGGGGATCGATCTCTGTCTCTCCTTGGGGACCTATCTCGTTCTCTTTCTCTTCTAAGACTTTGGTTCCTCTTTTTCTCTTCTTTCCCTTTGTCTTTTTGCATGGATGAGCTCCCCACTTTTGAGAGGAGAGTTTTTTTTGTTGTTTATGTACTTTTCTGCCTTGGCCAGTACTTCGGCCATACTGGCTTGGGGATTTTTCGAAATAGAGAACATCAGGTCTTTAGATTGTACTCCTAAACTAGCTATGAATGTAGTAATGAAAAATTTCTCGTCTAGGACATCCACTTTTAGTGATTCAGAGTTAAACCTCTGAACTTAGGATATGGGGTTCTCTAGGGGTCCCTGCTTCACATTCAACAGGTGGTAACTTGGCTTTTTGTACGTTCAAGCTTCTATAAAGTGAGATACAAAGGATATGAACAGCTCCTTAAAGGAGGAAATTGAGGTAGGGGGAGCCTATTGAACCACGCCAGGACTAAGCCTTTCAGTGTGATGGTAAAGGCTCTGCAGTGTACTGGATCCTGGTATCCATGCAATTTCATCTGATTCTTGTAAGTGTTGAGGTGATCTACGAAATCCTTTGTTCCATCAAAAGTCTCTATATGCGGTACTCTGAATTTCAGAGGGAGGGGAAAATGCAGCATGCCAATGGTGAATGGAGATTCAATTTGTTGTACTAAGGCATCTATCGTAACTGGAGTCTTGCCTCTCACGACCTCTTTTATGTGGCTGAGCTCTTGCTGGATACCCTGGAAGCGCTGCTCCTAGTACCATTCTCTCCTTTCCTGTTGATAGGGGAAAAAATCATTCCTCTCGCCCTCGTCATTCTGACTTTGTACTTCTTCGTAGTGTCCATTTCTGGGGGAATGCGAGATTCTGGCCCTATGGTTTGACTATTTTTTCCTTCTTCGTTGATTTTCCTGAGGGGGTCGAGGTGTGGTTGCTCCCCAGGTGATGGGTTGTTCTGGCCTTCTTGAGCTTGTCGCGCCTCCTATGGGCGTTGTAAGAGCTTTAAGAGTTTTTCGTTTTGTTTCATCAAGCGTTGATTGACGAGGCAAAGACCTTCATCTCGTTATTCATGGGGAGACCCCCCATGGGTGGATTGGTCTCTTAGACATTCTCAGGTTGTCTACTATTAGTAGCTTATTGTTGATCTTGCACCTGTGGTGAATTTGTCTGACTTCAGTTCATGTTTCGCGTTGATGCCATCAGTCACTGAAAAATCAGTTTGTTTATAATAGGAACAGTCGTTCGCACAGATGGCGCCAGACTGATGGTGTATTTCAACGTGGATGAGCTTAAGGTGCAGGTAACGTGAGATGAGCATGGATCCGAGCTTCGAGGCTCGTGTATGATGCTACAATAAAATATTGAGGGGATTAAAGGGGTGTACACAGTGAAAATATAGTGGTTCACTAGCTCGGGAGCTTGACTAATCCACTATTCAATGGAGATTCTTGCTCATTCCTTCACCATTTACTATACCAAAAGGTTTACAGACTGTAAGATGTGATACTAAGGTCCCGTCCCTCTGTTGGGGGCGTTACATAGTATTTATAGAACTTTTCCTAATTCTACGGGATCCACCCCGAGATCTTTGCCATTTATCCGAAGAATCCTCCTTGATCTTAGGAGGTGATCTTTCCTGGATAATAGTTTTATGCTTTGATTATGACTCTTTGCTGCCTCTAAGGTTTCTGTTGACAAATAACTATCTCTTTATTACTTCCGCTGCAACTTCGATTGGACTGGGTTTTACTCTGGTTTTATAAGCTTTGTGCGTCTGACCTCCGCTCCCGAGCTCATACTTGGGAATTGCTCTAAGTATCATTAGAATTATTGTTTATGTAATGGGCTCCTGAAGCCAACACTGATGTCAAATTCATAGTTGTATTGTACGTACTAATACTATTCACCATCTGGACATCTATCAGACGTTATCGTTATAGAAAAAAATGACATTTTAAAGTGACACGACAACCCCTTATCAGCGTCAATAGCAACCGGCGTTAACAGAAGTGATAAAATGATTTTTTTTAATCCTTTTATTTAATTTAAAATAAATACATAATAAATAAAATATATTACAAAAAATTTAAATTATAGAGTCAAAAAAAAATCTATTTCCCTTATCTCACATCTCACTCATCCCTTACCCCATCCGACGACCACCACCACTCCTCCTCCTCATATTCCTCTCTCGCTCTCTCTCTTTGAAAACTTGCAACTCCTCCTTTCTTTCTCTCTCTCTCTCTCAGATCCCTCAGGACTCCTACCCCTTCTTCGCAACATGCCACCACACTCAGCCCTCTCAGCCCAACTGCCACCACTCCCAACCTCCTTGTCTCTCTTTTCTCAAGCCCCTGCCCTTCCCCACAACAAACCCCATGTATGAGAACTATTACCTCTCT